ACAGTTGTAACGACGGGCGCCTTCGCCTGCGCTTGCTACGCGCTGTTATTATAATAACCGTAATTATTGAAGTTACGTTATTAAAATGAGTTGCAACAAAGAGGTCAAGGGAGAAGGTATGCCCCGCAGGAAAATCCGTTCGTTGAGGTTGTTACAAAAGACGACCGAAAGCGAAGAAGCGTGCAACGAAAGGATAGTCGCGTCTGTTGTCGAATAAAAAACAAAGGCAGGTGCAAAATACGCGAATTGCGCATTGAAGTATAAAATATGTGAACTTTATATATCTAAAAGACACGTCGAATTATAAATTATATAAAGTTCACATGTGTTCAAAATTATTGATCAACCTGATTATTATTCTATTAAAATATATAGCTACATAAAAATCAGAATTGATTAAAATCTTAATTGTTACAAAAATACGCGTAATAAATTTCTAATATTTCCTTCTGGCTTTTCTGTAAATCCAGATTTTCTGAAAAAAAGGTTGCCATCTTCTACTTTACGGACTTCGTGCTTAAAAAGCATGACATTGCACATAGTAGTCCACGTAAAGGTGGAATTTTCTCATATCACAGAAGGTTTCGAGTCGTCGCACGCGAAAGGACTATAACTAGCGTCGATTGCTTCGAGGAGCAAATCGCGAGATGCAACGATGCATCGAAGGTAACGGCGTACTTTCTTCCGAAGCGCATCACGTTATGCATTTTCTCTTTCTCTCTCTCTCTCTTATTCTTTTTCTTCCCTCTTTCGAAAGAGCGCAGATGGCACGGAAGGAAGAGCACGAAGCAACGCGCGCATGTAGCGTTCGTTCTACACAAGGAATTCCGTGACTACACGCTTTCCCCCTGCTAACTAACAGGTGGAAGCCGCTCGCGGAACGCGCAGCTTTCCTCGAGATTAGCAGGTGGAGGTATACTCACGGCTGTGTCGCAGATGATTCAAAAACACAAGTCTAGGGAAACGAAGCGGGACGGGAGCAGGAAGGGGGACAGATGGACGATACGTGAGCTGCTTTTGTTCCAACTAGTTCCTGAATTATGGGACGGCACTCGAGTGCCGTTGCGCGAGAGCGAACAACGCGTCCACGGTGAGAGGAGTGAAACAAATTCACGCTACACGCGCCGGTCATTCGCGGACTATTTTCTTTTTTAATGGATTACGTATGAAAGAGTGATGAGTATTGTGTATGTTGAAGAAACAAACAAAATCGCAATTATTGTCGACTAAACAAAAAGTGTTTACCATTTTTCAATTAAAAAGGAGCAATATCTGTCCTGAACTATGATACTTCAGTTTCGTGTCAAGATACATTTCATATATGAATGTACTAAAAAAATATCAGAGCGTTACACTTTTACATGAAATGTAAAAGTTTCTTGCAAAGAAATTAGTCATAAAATAATGTTTTTTCTAATTAATTAGATTAATCTTTTTGAAGAGTTAATAACGGAATAAGAACAAAACAATTTAGCGAATTAGACTTAAAAAATATAAAATAAATATCTAAATTTTGTTACGTATATCTAAGTAAATTTTACTTTAATGTAATTATAATTTAAAGCTTAATTATTAAAGATTCCGGAGTTACAAAAAAAAGAAAAATTGTAACATTTGATTGATATAAAAATTTTATTATTAAGAAAAGAAATCGGCGAAAAAATACGTGAAAAAATTTAATGTTCTCTTTTACGTAACAAATATTTTGCTTTTGTCATTTCGTCTTCGTGGCACTCGATATATCGATCTGACGGGATTAGACCGCGGAATAAAATGACACGTTCGCCTGTCAATGATATCGCTTCTGGTGCTATCGTACGATAAAATTCATTTCTCCCGATTCGCATGCGAATCGACTGAATTTCTATCAAACATCGTGAATCAATGCAATCGCAAGGAAAAATTGTCGAGCCGCGATGGCTATTGCTACCAGACATGTAAAGGCGGCACGGTTGCGTGTTCTGCGTGTTTCCACGGGCTATACACGTTAAACCGTAGACTGTATTATTGATGGTTTATTGCTCTCTCTCGAATCGACCGACGGACGATGGTACCACGGGGCACCACCAGTACCCATCGGCACACATGCGCCTGCCCGATCGACGAAAATATGCGGAATTATTTATCCACGCGCAATTATTTCTCTATCCTTGGGCGCAACTATCGCATCGCGTTGATTATTTCATGAGAAACTAGATCCGATATCGTAGTCAAAGTCAAAGAAAGTTTCTATGTACTTTACGTGAAACACATGGGTTATTTTCGAATGAAATTTTGATGAAAAACTATGCGTGGCGCATAATGCAAGCGCAAATTGCATAAGATATTTTAGTGTATCTTTCTTCTATTATATTTCATATACCATTGATCAATGTTTTATTTTGTTCTGTCTTTTATTTAAATAATTTTTATTTCGGTGTTTTATCAATTTTCAACAATTCAATTTATAATAGATAAGAAGATATGCAACAAAATAATAAATATTTTAGCTTTATTTGCTTTAGAAATGTAATTAGTGCAATTAAAGATTATCAAATATAGTGAAGATTTCAAAGATTCAGATTTCAAGGATTTGAAAAGTTTTTGATGAGTAAATGACTGTCACTAATGCTTACAATTAGCTATGTGTATGTAAGAAAATGATAACTAGGCATTGTGCACAGCGGAAATGTTTATCCGCTATTTCTCGCATAATATGATAGAAAGTGTCTTGTAAAGATTAAAGCCGTCGCCACTTTCACGATACTCATACGGCGATGAAAACACTTGATTCTTAATGACTCCACATTCCTCTCTGCAAACTTTCATTCACAAGGAATTACAATACTTGAAGCCAAGTAAAATAATAGATATTATAAAATCATACTGCAGCTATTGATCCTTTTATCAAAAAACTCTGCAATGTTCTATTTATCCGAAACTAATAAAAATTTCAATTAGACTGAGACAAGTGCAAAGTCTTATTTGATAAACTTATTTGTCACTTTAATAGAAATTCAAGAAATATTCTAAAATTTTAGAAAACCTCAGAAACATTCGGAAATTTAGACATTTTTCCAAAAGAATCTAGAAAAATATTAATTCTGTTTCTAATATTTGTTTATTTAATTAAAAATGACGTAAATAATTATAAGCAGCTTGTCTCATTTTATCTGCAATCAATCCTATGATATTAAACAGATTTAGACCAGAAATAAGGTCACGTATCATTTCAAGCAGCACGGACGATACTTAAAATAAAAATAATATATACATCTAATATCGATCCTTATGCGCAAATTATGTCGTGCCGTCAACGGTTAATGCAGTGACCCGCGAGACTTCCGATTAAGCGTTTCTAGGGTGTATTTTCGATAGCTAGGAGACTCTTGGCTTTCCTGTCCACGGGAGAATTGCTTGGATGCAAACTGACTACTCGAGTTAGTCCGACTGCAACATCCAGCCTGAATATTTCATAAAGAGAGACCGGTCGATTTCCGTGCTTGTGGGAAGCACGGCCACCTTCGCCACGAAAATCGTTAGCCAATGTGTATAAATAACAGTTGCGCGATTTGATATATACATAGTATTTGTCAAGCCAATGCGAATAAAGTGATTGTTATTTTTTTTTTTTTTTAAGGAATAATATGTTTTCTCGCTTGCTTTCCTAGTTTTTATGTTTTTGGAAGACGCTTGCACACACGTTTTGATAATATTACTAATATTATTGTAAAAGGATCAAATATGCGACACTTTTCTAGAACGTCTTATAATTTCTTAGCATGGCAGGAAAATTTTAAAAAAGCAATAATAAAAAAATATGACAGAAAAGATACCAATATTATGCCGTATGCAATATGTGTCACGTATAATTTCTTATCAAAATTTCATGCAAAAGTCTTAATTTTAAAGAGAGCTTGCTAATTTAGAGTTTGTTTCTTATTAGAAATTTTATAAGAGATAATTATTTATTATGAACGCTTTTTAACGCTTATTATTAAATATCTTGGCAAATCAGAATATAAAATTAAAAGGTAAGTAAAGATTTTTGGCTTCTTTTTAGTCATATTCTTAGTAATTTCATATAATTAGTCACGCTGAAAAATTATTTTTGCCTGGATAAAATTTAAGATTGGGTTCCTCTGAAACACTCTGTGTATAATAGCATATACATCCTGATTGCGCTACATTAGACCATAGAAAATTACGCTATTACGCGTCGACGATACGATGAATCAGTGATCGTGCGACGATTTGGCGACGACTGTATAGCGCAAATAATTTATTGCGTTATCACTTAGGAGAAAATTGCTAGAAATTGTGATTGCTAGAAATTGCCGGCTTCCCTTATCATTTTACTTACTTGCCGGGAAAAGATAGTGCAATGATAATTATATGCCTACGAGGATTACTGCGATATGTAAATTAATGCGTTAACAAACCATTAGTAATTCCAACCAATGTATTTCTCTCAAAACACGCATAATGAAATCAGCCGTCTACCCATTAATTATTATTGAAGCGTTAAATATTATATTTAACCTGGAATGTGTATATATAAATTCGTTATATATAAATTATTATATTTCGAAATACATACATTATATTTGTGTTATGAATTGTACCGATCCAGAAACTCTACGAGTTCGTATCAAAAAATAATATTATTGTCATAATACATAAATATATTAATATAGTCATTAATGTAAATAATGAAAATATGTTTATGTATTTTGACAATATTATTTTTTATTACGAGTTCATAGAATTTCTGAATCCGTACAACTGATATGTAATATCTGTTACAATATATGTATATCAAAATATAATAATTTAACATAATTTATATGTACATTCCAATAAGTTAATATTGATAATGAATAAAAATCTTTTTCACTACAATCCAAATTAATTGTGAGAAAAGCACGCAATTTATATCCAGTTTACGAAATTTTATTTATGCAAAACAAGTATCCATAAATTGGCACATATAAATGTATTTTTTATAATAAATTACTTACCATATCGTTCTGGCTCTGCTGTCGCCTAATGCTTCCTAAGCCTCCTCCTCAGCGGTCCTTCGAGACACTCACACGCGTTCGCGGCGCACGCATTGCTCACGCGCGTACCCGAATGCAAAAAAAATCGCGCGACACTTTAAACGGCACTCCCGACGTCGCAGGCGAATCGAACCAAATTCCGAATTGCGACGTTACGCGCAAATTCCGTCCGCGTTTCAAACGACCGCATTTATCAATTGAGACACGATTCTTTCACAACAGAGGGCAAAAGGTCGAAGAAGATAAAGAAGCCGGCCTAGTCAGGATCCTATGACAAAAACCGATCCTTATCTCCACCGAGCCGAGCCTAAAGTCGAGAAGAAATCGTGTTCCAATATTTGTCGCAGCATGCGACGGAAATGCGTTCATCTATAGATTCGCTATAATTCGTTTCGAACTCGCGCGAAATTATCACGACACCCCCGGCATTAACGGCACTCTCGAGAAACATTTCTTTATATTACGACGAAACGAATATATTTCGTAACACCGATTACGCGCACAAAATTTATCTGTAAAATATAAATTTATTTACATGACAAACAATACTATAATTATATAAGTTATACATATATAATTGCAATAATAACACATAACATAACCTTTTAATTTTTAATCATTTATAAGTAATATTTTTTAATATTTTTTTATTTTCGTGCGAAAGAAATATATATTTTTTCATATTTTTCATAAAAATCACATAAAATTGTTAAAACACTACTTAAAAATATTATCATAAATAAAATAAAATTAATTTAAGACAATTAAATTCGATCTTGTGAAACAATGTCATCTTCATCTTTATCTTTACTTCCACCGATCATGATTATTCACATAAAAGATATTCTACTTGTACATCGATACGCAAAACGCGTAATTTAAGCTGTGTAAAAAAATAGCGCAAAGCATAGCTCAGGCTGCATAAAAAAATAGCAGCATCTGTTTACTCATCAAACACTACTCATATGTTAGGAAAAGCATAATCCAGAGAATCAATTACACAACAATGAAATCTACATACCTAGCAATCGTGCGTCAATGCAGTTTCACGGCATTTTGGCGGTACAATAAGACAACCTCCATTTTGATTGCGAACGGCCAAAAGCAGTTTCGTCAATGCCGAAGATTATGATATTGTGGCTTATAACAGCAATTACAGACATTGCGACGAATACTACTCTTGTGAAATCTTTCGCGAAACTCGAAAATGACAGAAGAAATATGCGTGAGATTCACTTTTGGATGATAATAATCACAAAACATACAGAACGATTCGAACACAACTTTTCGAGTGGAAATGATATATTTCAATGAATTTAACCGCGATTAGAAATATCTATCGAAATATGATAGCGAATCAAAATGCGAGAATTGCGATTCAATATATCAAAACTCGATATCGAAACTCGAATATTGAAAGCGATGATTGGTCCTAACCGTGTAACGCGTCTGCGCAAATACTCATGATTCATCGCTTCCCAGCTTGCTTCGTTTGGCTTCGTCAGCTGAAAATTGGCGGGTAAATGCAGGCATGCACTCGTCAAATGTATAAGTGACTGTATATACAATGTGTTATCAATGAAAAGCGTCAAATATTGTATAAATATTTGTGATTCATAAATATTTATGTGCAAACGATTTCTACGATCATAAAAAAACGATATTTTTACCAAATTGTTAGTATAAAATATAAAAATAACGAGGTTTGAGATTGAGGTTAGTATTACACGTCAGCTGTCATAGCTGTAAACGCTTTTATTAATTAATTAATAACAGCTTTCAATAAGTATTTGTTAAGAAATTTTATGCCTTTCCATCTTATAATTTTAATAATTTTATAGAGAAATAATTTTCAATTCATGAAATTTGATACTGAGCAATTTATAAATAACTCTAAATTATAATCAATTGCTTAATTAAGTTAATTAACTCCGTCATACATTACTTAATCTTTCTATAGAAAGATGAATAAACTTATTTTTTCTTCATACTGTATCTTTAACTGTAAATAGCAAAAATAATTTTATCAAAACATATTTAATGTGACTAAATTTAAGATTTTTCTCTTTTCTATATTATATTATTTTAGTGAATAAAAAATAAATATTACATAATTTATGATTTATTCAGATATATTTATAGACATTTTTTTCAGAACTTTAAAAATGGAACATGAAGACAGTGATTCTGATCTAGATATTTTAAATAATCTTATATCAAACGATACTGAAGAAAATGAGCAATCTGAGCAGCCTGAGCAATCTAAGCAGCCTGAGCAATCTAAGCAACCTGAGCCTGAACAATCTGAACCACCTAATCAGCTTAAGCAGCCTAAACCACCAGAACCAAAAAAGACTTTAACAGAACTGCAATTCAGTTTTTTAGATTCTACACCTAGCAATATAAATAATGAAAATAAGTTGACTGACGAGAAAGTCACCAGTGAGATTTATGACGACAATCTTGACTCATCAGATGAAGAAGACAAGCGTCATTTTGAAGAGCAGAAGTATTGTAACTATGGGCGTGAAATAAAACACCTGTTGAAAGCACAATCCTCGCTAAAGACTGACCAGCCTGCAAAATTGGAGTACAAAAATAGTAAGACTTTCAATTTTAGTAGTAATAATAAGAATAAGGCTTTCGATTTTAATAGTGCTGCAAAAAATTGCAGTAATAGTATTACAGCAAAAGATGTGTACAGTGATCCCTTCTTCGGCATAAGAATAGTTAGCCTTCTTATATCATCCGCTGAATTGAGAGACCGTATGAAAGACAAGATAACTGTAACAATATCCAGAGTAAAGAGCCATATTATTTCGGATAATGTACACAACGACTGGGTAATCGCCGGCGTATTAATTAATAAATCAGCCACGAAAACCTCGCAAAAGGGAACTTCTTATTGCATCTGGAAAATAAGCGATTTGTCCGATGATCTGAAGACTGTGTCTATTTTTCTATTCAGCAATGCCTACAAACAGCTATGGAAAACCATCACAGGTAGTGTCATAGGCATTCTGAATCCAAATGTGCTCGAGAGTAAGGACAACATCGATCAAGCGACCTTATCGATCGACAATCCTCAAAAGTTGATGATCCTTGGTAGATCCAAGGACATGGGCAAATGCAAATCGGTCAAGAAGAACGGCGAGCCGTGTACCGCAGTAATAAATACGAGTCGGTGCGAGTATTGCGTCTACCACGTTAAACAGGAGTACAAAAAATGCGCGCGACGAGCAGATCTACAATCGAGCAGCATGGGATACGGGTTCGCCGGGGATGCGCTGAAACGCATGAACAAACAGACTCACATGCGAAAACCTTACAATGGCCTGGCGCCATTCGTACCGGTGCTGGCTAAACCCAACGAAAAGCTGTACGAGAAAGACCGCGCGCGTTTGGAATTACTATCCGAGACTACTTCGGGTGGCAGTATCAAGAAAGCGAAGAGTGACTTAAAGCCAGAGGTCAACAATGTGAATATTAAAAAGAAAGGAATTGCCGTCGAGCTGACGAACCAACAGTCGAGAAAAGATTTTGAACGACTCAACAAATTGAGGGGCTGGCAGCCCTCGAAGCAGGTAGCGATGCAATCGACACCCAACGGGCCGGTTCTGTGCTCGAGTCCGGTGCAATTGAAAGAAAGTGATTCCACGCCGATCAAACCTAAGAACAATCACGTAGAAAAGAAGAGCAGCTTGACCGTCCTTCTGCCTTCAAGCCCGCGACTGGGAATAGGATGTAGTCAGGGCACGATAGATTTCTCCGAGCCGATCACCAAGAAACATATTCGCACTGCTAAGATGAATGCGATCAAGTGGGTGAAGGAGCATGGAAAGATCAAAGCCAAGGATCCCAACCAAATACACATGAGCTCTAAAGAGAAGTTGGAGAAGAACGCGAAACGCCAGAGGGAAAACGACCAGCAAGAAGAGCAGAGCGCGAAGAAAGCGAATATAAATGACAAATTCAAAGAGCTGCTAGAAGTCAAGTCCTCTCACGCGGATTTGATCGAGAAGTCGTACGACGAGGAGAAAGAGAAGTATTTTGACAAGCTAGAGGCGAAGGAAAAAATGGAAGAGAAGATGATGAGCACCTTCAAAGTCAACTGCAAAGCCGTGAAGTGCGCGATATGCAAATACACGGCATTCTCAGCGTCGGACATGTGCAAAGAGCAGAGGCACCCGTTACGCGTAATTGACGCCGTGAAAAGGTTCTTCAAATGCGCCGATTGCGGCAATCGAACCGTCAGCCTGAACCGCATGCCCACGCGCAGCTGTGGTAAGTGCAGCAGCTCAAACTGGACCAGGGCGGCAATGATGGACGAGAAGATCGCTATCAATACAGAAACCCTATCCATACGCGGCGCCGAGGAGAAATTCCTGGGCTCGATGGTGAAGAACGCTAATCTTAATCTTCTTGTTCCAGATGATTAACGCGTTTCTTTTGATTGCCGATAACGTGATATTATATTTTTAATATTAAAACTGTTATATAAATATTTGCAGACGTGAAAGATAGAGAAATTGAGAAACGATTAGATCCTAGCATGATGAATTTTGTATATAAAGTATAATACGGTAGGCTGTATTGTTATCAAGATATCAATTGAATTATTAGTATTATTTTTATACTTGTTTATGTATACTAAAAGTAGAGAGAAATTCAAGGATGATGGATCGCGAATAACTTGTCTCTGTCGATGTTCAAATTCTTAATTATCACCGGTTGAAATTAAAAGAGCAATGTGAATTTTGGTAAAAACTGCGATTGATGCTTATTCCTATAATTTATGTCTTACAATCTACAAATGCAAAACGTTTGATATCCTTTTGTTTATTGTCAATATTATCAGTTTTCTTTTCTTCTTTTTTTTTTTCTTCACTTTATGAAATGTACAAATATAAAGAAATCCTAAGAGTGTATATCTCTTGCACATTTCCGAAATGAAATACATCTAATTCTCCGTCCGAAATGTACACAGCGAGCAGAAACGTTTTGATACACAACCAGGTACAACAATCGTATAAAAAACATTATGTCGTCTTGACTACGTTCTTCATAAAATTACGTTCGTTTGAGATTTTATGCTTAGGCTGCGAAAAGGATCATTACTATCTTCCTGTTCGACGGAGCCTTTTTTTCTCGTCACAAGAAAGATATATGTACTGTTCCTTGACTTCTTATAAGCGGGATACGAACTGTCTAAAGGTGGACATTAGTAAGTTTCTAAATATGAAGAATTGTGATTGGGGTCCGGAAGCATTGCATCGACATAAACCACCGCGACATTAAACGTTTTACTATGTACACCGTATGCAAATAATAAATTCTTTTCCGAGGGAAAATGATTAAAAATTGTGATTTTAACGCGTGGCGTTATGTCAAGTGTAACAGTTCCGGACTCTAATACCATCCGTTTGTATGAGAAACATAGATTGTATTTTTTTTCACTCATGTACTGTTTAATATCCTATGGTTGTCCAGTTGTCTATTCGGCATTTTATATTACGATGACACGTTACTCTTCCTTGTATATAAAACTTCGAGTAAAGTATGTGTGAGAAAAGGAAGATTCGAAATAATGGCTATTCGAAATCTCGAGCATTACTTGCAAACGAGACACTAATTATTGTTACTTCAGCAAATTGATCTTTTTTCAACACGCCATGATAATCGAGTTTATCGCAGCCCTCGTTTGTTAATTTTCGAAAAACCGATCGAAAACGATGGGAAACCGATGAAGCGTCCCATAATCTACGTTTGAGAATTGAGTCACATTAATTGCATATTGTGCTGCAAAAAGATTACGTTATCTTTTCAAAGGATTAATTTCTGCCGTTGCCTAATGCGTGTATACATATGCATACGTGTAATGGAATGTTTTAGATCATTATTTCAATCTCCCTCTTTGTCACCCGATAGAGCATAGATCTCACAGAAAATGAGCAGCAGTACCATCGAAAATTTCTTTTCCGGTTCCTTATCTATAATCCCCCCCCCCTTCCACCCCATACCGTAATCCACCAAAAACAGATCTCACTTTAGGACTTAACGCAGATGCATCGTGTGGCACACATATACGAAAAACATTCTAAGAAAATTGCATTCCGAGAAATCGGCCTGAATAAAATTTTTACAATAATTACATTCTTGTATTGCCTTCAATGTCGAAATATGAAATCTAATGAAACGTTAGGGAAAACAATCGATTTCGATTAAAAGACACATTTTTGTCTGACAAAAAATACGTAGGAGTAAAAGAATCAATGACGAATACGTTGTTAGCAGATTATACAACTATGCTTAATAGAGATCATAGGCAAGCCATAATCTAAGTATGTCATTCAATTCGGTTATTAAAAGCAACTCGCGTGGACGACATTTCTGTGTGTACCTTTACCTTAAGACAAAGATTACAAGGCTTTCCCTATTCTCTCTCCCTTTCTATCTTTCTCTTCCTCTCACTCTCTCTCTTTCTCTCTCTCACTTTCACTCATTGATATTTATCGAGTTCTTAATTTACTATCTTGCATACTTAATCGGATGTTCCGCTAAGCAGAAACGTAGTCGCACCGATGTATAGAAATAAATAACTATCTAGACTCCTAGTGAGATGTTTACATATAAAAATTTGAAGAAACATTAAGCCGGCAATTAACATCTGGGTGTCTTGAGAGACAATACACAGATACAAATACTGCGAACCATCACGTTCTGGAATTCGTTGTGCACATATCGCATAATCGGATCTCTCTTGAACGCTCCACTTTGATGAAGTTCTCTTACGCGCCCCTGTTTTTTGTCTCTGCAAGGTATACATCAGAATAATATCGCAAATAATGTGAATACATTATCAATTAACGATCCACACTGCTTTTATCGAGAGAATCTCACGGTATTCGAGACCTTTTTGTGAAATCCCTTTTGCTTTCTATACAATAAGTCTTTCATGAAGGATACTTCACCAAAATTGCACGTTACATTCTTTTCACATTTATACATACATAGCGTCGTTTATTACAAAGGCATCGTACGAATAAGCGAATTAAATTAACAGTGTTAAAATAAATTTCGTAATATCTTTAGTAACTGCTGTTTTTTTTTTTTTTAAATATTGCAGGGAATATCTTTCTCTTCGTTAAGGTGCACCACTATAACAATGGAAAAGTTACTTCGATACACTTTTGCAAAGCGTTTCTTATGTACAATTGTGTGAATGTACAAAAATCTAAGAGCCGAGAGCCAGCAACGGAGCAATGTAGGATTGCGAGGAATTGTCTGCCCTTATGTTTACAAGTGTATCACTGCATAAGACGGAAATACTTGATTTACTCCGTGGATCGTGTACGCGACCTCAACTTATGTCTAAGGCAACTGTGCCGTCTTCTTTTTTTTTTTTTTTTTTTTAAATTGACATCTATTTACAGAACTCTTTTCGTTATCCGTATGAATTTTGCAAACCGGTGTAGAATGTACGATACGCAATTGTAAGTTTATAATAATCAATTTATTACAGGTCTGCTTCCATGATTGTGTGTGAACAAAATAATGCTACAGCCGCTTTTTCTTTTATTTTAAATACTCATTTCTCGTAAAATCTATGATAAGATGACAAACATCAATTTAATATAAAATTACGATCGAATCATTGTATACACTGTACAACATTCGTATTCGGCACTATAGAGCGTGTAGTGTAGTCATCTGAACGAAATATCCCTGTGTGAATAATTAAGGGTAAAATCATAGTACAAGGTGAATGTTACAATGAGAGAGTAGGCAGGTATCAAGCTGGCTTAATTAAGTGTCACAGTCTTCGAATCGCCTTTCGTAGACATGGATTATATCAGCCGCGCCGTATCAGCTGGTGCTCTTCTCTTTCGTGTATCGATTACGATCATGTTTGATGCTCGATAAACTCTAGACAATAATTTCGTGACGATATCGTACGTGCTGCATCGTATGGTAAATTTCGAAACATGCCCGTCTATGCTTCTCTCTTGGGACATCGCGCAAAAGAGAACATACACTCGTGCTCCTTCCGCCTTCTTCGAAGCTAAGAGAACCAAATGTCGGTTGAGTCATGGACTTAGTAGTCGTCTAAATCAAAGCTATCAATTTCGATGTCATCCAGCTGCATACTTTGAAAGTCCACTTTATACCGCAAGATACCTGAAAAATACACATTTGAAGGCATATGCCGGGCAACTATCCTTTAAAAGAATCTTTTTGCTAAAAGACAAATTATTTTTACACAAAAACTTATTATTAAATTGGCATTAAAAAAACTGTAAGTATGGAACAATATCATATATGAGTATAATGGCATATATAAGTAAAAAATTAAAAATGCATAGTTTATATAGCATGATCTCTATCTGCAAATTCTATAAAATTAAATCAAATTCACATTTTAGAACAATGCTTTCCTAAATTGTATATACATATCGCAATTTGCAATAATAAAATAAAGTAGAATAAACAAATAAATTTAGAACTTATAAAACGTATATAAAATTCATGAAAAAAAAAGTATAATTCAAAGAAAGCATTATCCATAGAAAAGAACAGATTACAATTAGTTGAATATTTTATCATTAAAATCATAACACAACGATATACATAAAAGCAAAATTATTATTTTAATATTGCATGTAAATATTATATGTAAATGTAAATGTTATGCATAATGACCGGGACAACTGTAATATAAATCTAAAAACTTGTATTAATGAATTTTACAAAAATCAATACTTAAATAGATATTAACGGGCAATAAAGCTATATATAACTATGTATATGTTATAAAATATACCACAAAATATTAAAAAATTAATAAAACAAGAACAATAATAATCATGTATAAAAAACATCAATTATAACATTGTGATCTGCATTAAAATTTTGTAAATCAGGTAAATAATATATCAATTTTTAATCTTTATTATGTAATCAGTAAAGAACAGGTACTGTACCTTTGCCAATATGCAAGCTAATAGAGAAATAAGATACTGATTAATATTTGAAAGTAAAACACTTTTAACTATTTTAAAAGCAATTGCTAAATAAAAGCATAAGTACTTGAAAGACGTACTAATCATAACTTATGTTCATTATCAGAGATAACATTTTTTTTTTTTTCTATATATATTTTTTATATTTGCATTATATATTTTCAACAAACTATGTTATTTAATTATGCACTATATTATCTATCAAACTATATTATCTATGATAATGAACTCAGTCTTCATATTGCTTATTATTTAACATGCAAGTTTGTGGTCATAAAAACATATAATATTATCATTGTTTCCTATATATCTTGCATTGTGTAAGCATAGAGAAAGCGAATATCAAAAGAAAAGTATATTGAAAAATCCAATGAAACATTTACTATACAATATACTATAATATTAATATTCATCAATTATATTCCTAGTTCAATTATTTACGTCGCAAATTTTATCATAAATATTTCGTCTCATGGCAATACCTTGAACAAAATTTCTAAATAGAAACAAATTGAGATAATAATTGCTTTTTTATGTCAAATATATTTCCAGAAATATGACTTATGTACTTTCATTAATAAAATAAACGCGATAACCTTGTTATAGTGGTGCATTAAATTAAAAGTCGAGGACGAATCATTAAATTTCTCCTTGAAACAGTACATACTAAAATAACTATGCAGAAAGAACATACATGCGCTTGCTATCATCTAACAATTGTGACTATAGTCCAATCTATACAACATCTATAACGTAATTTTACAGTATAAAAATAAATTCCGATAATATTTAAATAATGTATGTGCGGAAAAAATAAAATTTTTAAAAATAATGCCAATAATGCCATCAAATGTGCAATACAATTCGATAGATTTGTCAAAAAAAAAAGGAACAGATTGTAAAGATTGTAAAAAGTATCATGCAAACCAAGAAGTTCAACATATATTGTAGCTTATAGTGAATAATAAAAAGAGAATAGTGGTCTTGTAGTTAAAAATCAGAGATATATATATGTACGCATGTTGCACGTTTTTTATTCAGCAAGTCTTATATAACTTATGTATTTAACATATTAAATTGATATAACGAGAATTATAATAGTATGCATGTGGAATGTGTATTATATGTTTAAAAATAATTTTGGTCAGTGAAATAAATACCGTTGATATCTTTAAGATGGAAGAAACACTTTCACGTGTGAAATTTACATGTAATTATATGTTTAGTAGCGATAATGAAATTTGCCGACTGTTGGCTGAAAGCTCACATTGACATTTAGAAGCGTTATAATTAGTTTATTTATAAAACATTCCTGTTTACACGGCCTTTATCGTTCGAGTAACGAGTTTTAAATATGTACGATGTTGTCGTACGGAGATTGAAGATGGGATGTGTTAAATGAATAAGAATGTGGCTGTATATTTGATATTTAGGCAATACTATCTTTTCCATTGAATCAACCACTGTATTGCGTCTACTTCGCCAATTATAAAACCAACAGTGTACAGATCCAACGACGCGGCATAAAAAATAGAAGACTAGAAGGTTTCAACTCACCCCGCATAGAAACAGAGTTATCCGTATCTCATATATATGTACGTATACACGCATACACAAGATTTTATTCGCGTTTACCACCAAGAAAGAAAAGAAAGACAGCGAAGATTCTCAGGCTCTTTTTATTCGTGAAAATAATAAAGATTATACCTTGATAAAACACGAACTAAAAACGTCTATTACCACATTCAAACTTATTTTAAGAGACACATATGCATATGTATACTACAGATCTGCACAGAAGAACCAAACTATTTAGTGAGAAACCCAATGGAAGAAACTGTGAAATTTCTTGGACAAATTTATCTTTACATTTTGATCGATCAAGAGTAAATCGCTTTTTTTTGTACACTAATCGTAAAAATATTGTATTTTTATATACTATTCACACAGCATGCATATCTGAGATATTCAGAGGATATCCCGAAGATATCGTATCTCTCAAAGATATCTTCAGAATGTCTTCTGGACATCTTTTGAAGATATGTACTGTGTGGGTATGAAGATATATAGAATTTCAAAAGATCTTAGTTTACATACTTTATCATATAGTTAAATTTTTGTGTGCAATATATCATTAGTGAAGTATAATATTTTAGGGAAAGATAAAAACGAATATGCATTCTTTCTTGTGTAAAGCTAAATTACGTAAGTAGAGACAATATTTTAAAAAGATATTTGTGGCTAATTATGATATTCAATTGACTTATTTGTATTCGTAAATTCTGATTAAAATATTACATTTGCTTGTAAAAAATATATAAATTGACAAGAGATAAATAGATGATAAATTTGTCCAGCTTTGCAAATAATATGCTCTATGATACACGAGATGTAAGTGAACGCACGCAAGACAGAGAAAGAGCTACCTGGTCGACTCTGAGTAATTCACGGATGAAATTAGTAATCATCGAGGTCAACGTCATCAAGAGGCTCATCAGCCTGCAGTGACTGGAAATCAACTTTGTAGCGGAGGATTCCTATGCACCAACATATATACTCCACAGTTAATATCAATTCGATGAAGTTTGCTTTCCGTGCAAAATAATCTTTGCTTGCGTGTTTAGCGTTAATCTATCGAGTTTTGAGAACATTATTTACCCATAAAACGCAACTACACCGTAATGTCAACGTACAAAGTTCCACAGCAAGTCAAATGCGCAGATTGCACTAGAGAAAGCCTAACATTTATGCTATTTATAATATTTCAAATGCAAATATCAAAATTTCTCTCATTTTTTTTCCAATTTTAATTTTCTTTAACCTCTTTTCCTTTTTCTTCTTATTGTTCTTTTTTTCATTACAACCATTAACCATTTTTTCATTTGTTACGCACTTTACTTTTTTTTACAACCATTTAGCATGTAGATTTATACATGTCTTTTTGTAATATTCAGGAAGGTAGGATCTGTATCATAAGATTACAAATAATGGAAATATATGTTTATAAAAAAACTCACCACCAATGCCACCAAAACCTCTGACGAATTGAGATCCTTCCTGAGATTTATCAGTGATAATTTCCAATGTGGCACCAAAGCTCTTGTAATTATTTGCGAGCCATTCGAGTAATGGTTGACATTCTACTAATTCCAGCTCTACCCCGCTCTATAATACAATACAAGAATATAATACAAGACAAATTTTAAAAACGAAAAGAAAAATGTAATCTATTTTTTAAAAATTTAGAAAAAAATTAGATTTATATTTATATCTTATATTACAACACTCTTTCGGCTTACTTCTTTATCTGTGAAGTGAGTTTTATCCTTTTCTTGTTCTGGCGTTAGGTGCAATACTTTTTCTTCCGCGTTTGTATGATTTTTCAAGACATATCGTTGAATATCTAAATTCTCCCAACAAATGAGAGTTTCAACACTACCTAATTCCAAGGCTCTCAACGTATCTTCTACACCGAAACAATACTTGCCAGTTTCTTGAGAAATTTCATCAAAATAACGACCTAAAAGAAATCGATGATAAATTAAATATATACATATATATTATCCTTATTCTAAATAATGTAAATATTTTTTTACCAATCAATTTCTTTTCTTGTATGAATTTCACATTTTGTAAAGATTCGGCTGCTAATTCAATGGCCTGGTTAAAACCATTTTCACCACCATATGATACATCAACTAGTTTTATAACTTTAGCTTGCAATCTCTGATAAAGAAAACCACATGACATTTAAAAAATCCACCTTTTATTGCAATATATATGCACAGACATATGAAAATAATTGAAAATAACGTATTGATAAAAAAATCTCACTTACTGGATCAAACATATCAGATTGACTAAGTTCCGTTTTGAAGTCGGCACTACCCGCCAAAATTAATCCAGCAATATTAGGTTTATCATTAGTAATGTATAATTGGGTAGCGACTTCAGCAACCTTTCGAACATAATTATGTCGTTTTTCCATACGTAATCGAGCAAAACGCAGCGCAGACTGACCACCTCTTCCTGAAATAGATATTTTTGTTACAGTATATCCGATACATACGTGCTTTATATTGGTTTTAAAAAAGTAAAAACCAATGATAAAAACAAACCTCTTTTTCAGATATCACATACCATGCTTTTTCGGAAGATCCACAGTAAATTTATGTAACACCTCGCGCGTGTTGCCTTGTAGTGTGCCAAACAACGCTCCATTACCATCCATTACAATAAAACCAAATTTGTTGTCATCTGCGAGCAGTGCCGTGAGCGCTTCTGTGTGAAACTGAAAAATATAGTTTACATAAAAATCATATTTCGTACATAAATATTATAAAACATTTGTAAATATAATATAAAACATACCTTATTATCACAAAGATATAAAGATGTATTAATAGGCTTGAAAGGTTCAAAATCGATGTTAACCTTCTTTTCTTTACCTTCCTCTGTTACAATAGTTCCACAATAAATTACCAGGCCATTTGGAGGCACTAAAACATTAATATAAATAAATTATGATTAGTGCATGATGAATTATATCAAAATATAAATTTCATATGTAAATGTAAATTTCATGTGTGACTCAAAAATGTAATATAATTTTCTATACTTAAAAAAGATAAAATATTGTAATTGTGTATTAGAATAAAACATTATATTTTTCTTTGTACAAAAATAAACAAGATAGCTTTACTATAGGAAAAAAAAATTTTCAATATAAATGTAAAACATAAATTACCTTTAGTATATAACTTTAGCCTATGCTGTACTGATGTGATTGCACCCAAAACAGATAATCTATTTACACGTGACTTAATATTCGATGCTGTACCAAATTCATCCGCCAGCATCTTGCTCACTCTTGATATTTGGTCCTTTGGAGGTATAATTAAAGAAATCATACTTGTGCCATTCCTGCAAAGACAAATATTTCAATGTCCACATAGGCGATGCCCAAGCGCTGTTGAATCGTCGACAAATCACTATGGCTTACTTATGTAAGCCATCGCCTTAATCACACAGGTGAAATCTATATCTTCTTTACAACTTTTAATTTTTCATTAAACTATATACACGCTAACACTCATTAGTCGTCTCAAAAACGGCATGTGTATGAAATAGAAGATTTTAGATTACAGTATACAGCAGATGAACACATGCTCCACGAAGCCATATGGTCAGGATATTCCGCACGGCGGTAACAGCTGATAGTGTACGGCACGACGCCGACCTACTTACCCCCTAGCCATCTCAAGGCTCTTTATGAGCTTCTTGATCTTCCAAATCTCGACATTGCGGTCGGCGGAGGTCTCCTCGTTCGACATCGCTGCTGATGAGCGTGGGGACGCGTGGTCGCGGCTGGTTACGTGCTGGTGCCTAAATCCTGGGAATTTAACGCTGTCGCGCGCGCTCTAATTCGTCCAAAGCAGGACGAATGACGAGCAGACGGCAATGTGGCCCGCGTCGACAACGACGACGATGATGGTGACAACGGGAAGGAACCGGGCCGTACGTGTGGCGGGTTTCTTTCTGCGAAAAATCACGGTCGACGGATTATCGATAGTCACGAGAAATACCGCACAGATCCAGTTCACACCGGATTATGTCAGCGGCCACGAGAGTAACGTGGTCCGAGCACGGCCGTTCGAGACGGGGCGGCCGCCCGTACGTTCTCTCTATCTCTCTTTCGCACCGAAAGTCTCGCGCGCGCGGGCATTAAACGCACGCAGTTTTAAGCACGCGCTGTACGCGCGGCCAAGTTCAGTTCTTTCGCACTCACTTTTGCAAGGATCGTTACGATGCGGTCGGTGCGCCGATGCGGACGACGTGCAAGGCCCTCTCTTCTTTTTTCAGCGGCGACACAGCTCGTGACACAGCGAGTACCACGCGATAGCGAGCCTCGGTATGCACACGTCGGCCATGCGATGGCACGCAGCGGAAACGTCAGTAGAGACGGTGGACGTGCCGCACACCACCGCACACGAGACAAAATGGGAAGCAAAAAGACCTCGAGGCCGCCCAGTCACGTATATGAGCGCACACGGCCGCAAGCCACGTTTGCATTAACTCGCGGGCAACATGGAGATTGGAAGAGGGCGTATTACTACAGGTTGCCAAGTGTTGCCAACCTTATACATTGCTCTTAATTCAAATCGTTGATATAGTGAATTTCAAGATGGCGCAGCCAATCAGATGCGTTATCTTGCTTCTTATCCTTGCCCCTATTTTCACTAGAATTTCACTTCTTGCTGTTATTTTTCTATTGGACACGCGGCATTCTGTCGCTATCGCATGAGTCGTGAAAGCAGTGAGCATGGTCGCACTTGCAATTGTAATTTTTTTCGTTAAAGAGAGATAATCATCAGCCACTATTTTCTCTCCTTTCTTACGTGCTTCAAGCGACTTTATGCTCAGTCTATATATATTGTGTCTATGGATGCTCCGTAGCGCATCATTGACAAATACGCGGCTACAAGATGTCAATGAAAATCTGACGCACTAATAGATGAAATTTGACGAAAACATCCTTGTGCGATGGATCTGGCCAAGTCGTTCTTCAATGTTCGCGATCATGACGGTTATGTTGGGAAAGAGGAACATAACGTGAGTATTATGTAGATAAATTTGTCTCTTGACAATTTTTGTGAAATTAATAATTAATCCGTAATATAGCACGTGGAATTTATGTTTTTGTTGACTATTTGTTACTTAAATTATTTTTTGAGAAATTAGAAAAGTTTTTAATATGTAGAAATCAATTTAAAAAATGATAAATCTGTACTTCTTAAGATACAGAATTCAGAAATAGAATTTTATGTTGTTTGTAAAACATATATTATGTTTATTTAGTAAAATTAATTATTTATGTGCTTTAGAAAAAATTGGAAACAACCACCTCTGAAGATGAAATTGAGGTGGAAGTTGGAGGTTTGTGCAGTGAAAGTCTGTCGCCAGCGCCAGGTGGTCCATTTTCTGCTTTAACTCCATCCATGTGGCCTCAAGATATTTTAGCTAAATTGAATCAACCTGACGACCCAAATTCACAGCCTGAATATAGGTAAGATTTGTGTATTCCAAATGACATATGGAACTCTTAAAACTTCTAACTTTTCAAATATGTAGTGATTAATTATTATAAATCACTATAATATATAGAAACATTTAGAAAATATAATATAAAATATAAAATAAAATATTAACAATTATTTTATTAATTGTAAAATTCAGATTTGATGAATTTGGTTTTCGCGTGGAGGAAGAAGATGGTCCTGAGCAGAGTTCGAAGAAGTTACTGGGAATACCATTTGTTGAAGATCCTCAACACAGGTTAGTTAATCACACTCTTTTCTTATTCTTAATATAGAATCTGATAGATGAATTTGTATCTGTATATATTTACAATACAGATATAGTAAACAAAATTAAAACATATCTTAATTTGCTTTTTTCAGATTGCAATGGGTTGCTCTCTTAGAATTTAGTCATAATAAAGAAGTAGCGGAACTTTCATGGCAAAATATGGATCGAAGGCTACCTCGTACGGACAAATTACGTGAAATGGTTCGGTGTGGGATACCTCATTCCTTGAGACCTCAAATTTGGATGCGTATGTCAGGTATAAAACAATATATCATAAATAATAACAATAAATCAACAAGTGAATATAATAGATTATAAATTATGAGAATATATCTCTAATTGCAGGTGGACTCCAGAAAAAGTGTTCATCAGAAATAATGTACAAAGATATAGTGAAAGCCTCAAGTAACGATGCATTAATGACCAATAAGCAAATAGAGAAAGATCTCCTTCGCATTATGCCAGCGAATGCCTGTTTCAGTCATCTTCATAGCACTGGTATACCTCGTTTAAGGCGTGTTATGCGTGCCTTAGCTTGGCTGTATCCTGATATTGGGTACGGGAAGAGATATTAATTATAATTATTCCAGTAACATAAACATATAGTATCGACATATATATAATATTTACTTTTGTTGTATCAAGTTATTGCCAAGGCACTGGTACAATGGCAGCATCATTATTATTGCTCTTGGAAGAAGAAGATGCGTTTTGGATGATGGCAACAATAGTAGAAGATTTGTTACCAGCTTCTTATTACTCTTCAACATTGCTGGGTAATATACATTCTCTCTGCCAATTTTACGGAACATTTTAAGTTACAAAATTTATTACTAATTACAACACATTAAAATATAATTACTATTTCTGTAGGTATTCAAGCTGACCAAAAAGTACTTCGCACATTAGTAGCTAATTTCCTTCCTGAGATAGATCATGTTTTGGTGCAACACGATATAGAATTAAGTCTTATATCTCTGCACTGGTTTTTGACCTTGTTTGCATCAGTTGTACACATGAAGATATTGCTACGAATATGGGATTTATTCCTTTTCGATGGATCTATAGTTTTATTTCAAATCACACTTGGGATGTTGAAAATAAAAGGTATTTATTATATTTACAACGATTTATTATTTAATGTAATTACACGTACTTATTATCATTAAATATCTTTTTCAGAAACAGATTTAAGACAATTGGAAAACTCTGCACAAATATTTAACGCTCTTTCGGATATACCAGGAGACATTGACGATGTGGACCAATTATTTAACGTATATTTCTTTTTCAATATAATTCTAGAAGCGTGTTATAATAAAATCTCACCACTTATTTTAGAATTATATAATATTTTAGGTATCCTTAGAAGTTAGTGGATCATTGACAGATGTTTTAGTTGAAACTCATAGACGACGTCATTTAGCATATTTAATGGCCGATCAAGGCGGACTGGTAGGAAATCCGGATGCAGTACCAAATTTGCCGAAACAACATTTGAATAGGTATGAATAATCAAAAACATGCCTGTACATTAACCAATAATCGTGATAAATATTTCTTCCTATTTTTTCATATTTTGTGGTATTTATACAGACGTCAAATGAAACGAAGTAAATCAATGTTACAAACAATTTTATTTGGAAGTGATGAAAGTGAAGATGATGCAAAGTCTAAAAATATTCGGCAAACAGGTATGTAAACATAATCGAATAAATCCTTCGATAAAATTTATCTCATTAATATAAATCTGAAATTTCAGAAATTTTAGTTGATCTGAGGGAAGCTGTTTTACAAGTCGCCAGACATTTCATAAATGTCGACCCAAAATTGAACAGCATTGTTCTCATAGCAGATTACACTATGGAAAGTCATTCGAAAGATCATGACAATTATGTCAATGTATCACAAACGCGGAAGAGAAGAGCCAAAGCTTTACTAGGTTGACACTTTTTCTATTGTTACATATTATGTTTATAGAATTTTGCAACAACAGTAAAACTTCTTACACGATTTAATAGATGGAATGAGCTGAAGCTATTTTACAAATAATAATCTCGTTACAGATTTTGAGAGACACGATGACGACGAGCTCGGTTTTCGAAAGAACGATATAATTACAATTATTAGTCAAAAGGATGAACATTGTTGGGTAGGAGAGCTCAATGGCCTGAGAGGTAAGGTATATACAAAGAAATCTTATAGAAAATATTTATTTAAAAATGTTGATCGTTGCGCTAAAATTAATCTATACCGTTTTTTTATAATTATTATGTACTCTGATATTTTATTCGTTTTCTTTTCTTTTTCTACTTATTCTTCTAATGTTATGTAGTCTCTCGAAAATAAAACATATTTAATATACAATGTGTTAACGTACCAACACATTTCAGGATGGTTTCCTGCAAAGTTTGTAGAATTGCTGGATGAACGAAGTAAGCAATATACATGCGCTGGGGACGATGCAGTTAGCGAAGCTGTTACAGACTTAGTGAGAGGTACATTGTGTCCTACTGTGAAAGCTGTATTAGAGCATGGAATGAAGAGACCATCGTTTCTGGGTGGACCGTGTCATCCATGGCTATTTATAGAAGAAGCTTCTAATAGAGAAGTGGAAAAAGACTTCAATTCCGTTTATAGTCGATTGGTACTATGCAAAACGTATAGATTGGACGAAGATGGTAAAGTTCTGACACCAGAGGAGGTATTATAAATTATTTATATATTAGTGCAATTTTTCTCTCATATACGTTCAACAAGTAATAAAGTAACAATTTTTCAGTTGTTATATCGTTGCGTTCAATCTGTGAATTTAACACATGATAATGCACATGCTCAAATGGATGTAAAATTACGTTCTCTCATCTGTCTTGGATTGAACGAACAAGTGCTTCATTTGTGGTTGGAGGTTTTATGCTCCTGCGTAGAAGTAGTACAAAAGTGGTAAGCATACCTTCTCTTGTAATGCATAATATTATGTATTCCTTACAATAATAATAATAATAATAATAATAATAATATGTTTAGGTATCAACCGTGGAGTTTCATAAATAGTCCAGGTTGGGTGCAAATCAAATGTGAATTAAGAACATTAAGCCAATTTGCATTTAACTTGAATCCCGATTGGGAATTACCGCCTAAAAAGGAACAATCACAGCCTTTAAAGGATGGGGTTCGTGATATGCTAGTCAAACATCATTTATTTAGTTGGGATCTTTAGCATATAAAACTGTTCACTATTAATAAGATTGTACTACCTTTTTGGTTCTCATGCAGAGACTTTCAGATTCAAACCTGATTTTAATTTAAATGATTAGCAAATAGTTTTACAATATTTATTTGTATTTATTAATGTTTTATTATAACTTATAAATTATAAATCGTAAATCATAACTATTATTATAACCTATAATTTATAAATCGTAAAAATTACATATTTTTAAGAAAAAAATCTTTATGCATTACATAATTTAACAATAGTAAAATAAGTTTCTCTTGATGATTTTTTTCACATTTATACTCATTTTTTCTTTATTCTATAATCTTATCGTACTAATTGGAACATGAAAAGGTGACAATGCCCTAACCCCTAACAGTTAGATCTGTAACAATTAGAAAGACTTATCTAGAATCTAAAACTTTAATGCACAACAATGACTAAGAATGATAATATAATATATAAACAAGTGATCTCAGTTTTATTATATTATAGAATTTATTAATGTTATTCAAGAAAGCTTGAATTAGTCAAACACAATTATAAACAGTTACGAGACCTCTATATTTTTATATTTTTTCGTCTATATATATCTTAGCAAATAATTTTGCTTTAAAATATTTAAATATTTTTAGAGTATAATCTCTGTCGAAATAATTCTGCATCTACTAAAATAGTTGAAAATTAGAAAAGAAAGAAAATAAAATATTATATTTATAAATTAGAAGTATTTAGATATAGAAAGAATTAAAAATAACCAAAGTCGTTGTGCAATTATATATGTTTACGAAATATTAATTTTATATTTCGTTTTCATAAGAAAAAAAGAATAAAACTATAAATATATAATTAACAAACAATATAATACATATAAATATATATTATATAATGTCACTGTATATATGTACTCTATATCTGTATAGAGAATATTATTGCGACTTCCTGAATTCTGATGAATATATTATGTAGCACACAAAAATGTTATAATTTAAGAGATTTATTTTTAAGCAGTGCCTTTAATATACAAATATCATTGGAATGTTCTATATATATTTCAAAAATTTTTAGTATTTCCATCAATGTAAAGTATCTATTTCATTCCAGAGCAAATATTGTTGACCACAAAACGTATATATTATGCAATATAGTTATATGTAATAATATAAAATATTTCATATACGTATTCTTAACATATACTTTTTTCTTAATCGTGTTTACGCCTTTCATTACAACAAGGATCTGTAAAATTTTCATCAATGATTTTTATATTAAGATGTGGTTTTTGCTCTTTAGCGTCCTTAAGAGTGGATATCATAGTTAAGAATGGAGTTTGTAAAAATTTATCTTTATCAAATTGTAAGGAAGCATGTATAGCTTTATACTTCTCAATAGTTGATGCGTCAATATGTAAATCATGTACGTCCAAAATATTTTCCTCACATGTTGGCTTATCAGAGATATCAATTTCACATCTGCACGGTTTCCTTTTAATATAAATAAAATGTAAATCCATAACATTTGTACCAGTGTATCCTGTCTTAAGTAAGTCTGCACCCTTCTTGAAACGCGAATAAAAATTGTATGTATCGTTTTCTTTTAAAGTATTTTCAGGTAACATGCGTTCTACTTCCATTGTTGTTAATATCGTACGATCGATGTGTTCATTACTATCTTCTCCAGTAGGAACAGACTCTTTTGTTGTGTTACTAGAATGTTCTCCCTGTAGTTTACTATCAGACTCTATTGTAAATTTACTCGTTTGCTGTTGTTTGTATGAATGTGTTAAAATTTTATCTTGCTCAGATGAAGTTTGAGCAATTTCCTTAGTAACCATAGACTTAACTTTTGTATAAAGATCCTGCATCACAGGTGCAATGGCAGGATAACCAAATGCGCCTGCTGCATCAGTAGGACCATCTTGACCATCAGTGCCTCCACTGAGCATTATCACGTCATATTCAGCAAGTCGCGGATAACTTTTAATTTTTGCCAACCAATCTAGTGAAAAACGTAAAGCTAATTCCTGATTTCTACCACCTCTTCCCTGACCTGTTACTACAACCGTAGGCTCTCCTCCTCCAATTAAAACTATACCACCGAGATTGCCATGTGATGAAGAATTGATACAATCAAAAATTTCATCTATTTTATCAATGGATAATGGCAATACTGCTTTCATTCTATCATAAAATTCTTCTCTTTTCAACTCATTTGACAAAACAAGGCATACTAGATTTGTTATATCAACATATGCTAAACTAATGTCCTTCACATTTCCCGTAACGTCATTTTTTAATATTATTGGAGTCAATTTTTTATGTAATGCTTCGAAGCTTGCAGCTTCAAGAGCCATTGTATTGTTTCCTAAAATTATATTTGTCACGTGTTTAAATTGTTTAGCTGGATTCAACAATGGACTGTCATTAAATGTTTCCTTGGATGTTATAACTGTTTTTAAATCACCTTCTAATGACTGAAATAAGTTATACTTTTTTAATATATCTATAACATCCTGAGGTGCTTTTGTGCTATAAACAGTGGGGCCACTAGCAATTAAATTTACAGGATCACCGACAATATCAGATAATATCAACGTAATGACAGATGCAGGATAAGCCATTCGTGCCAAACCACCGCCTTTTACAAGAGACAACTTTTTTCTTACAGTGTTAAGCTCAGTGATATCAGCACCTGCATTTTGAAGTTTTTTACAAAGTTCCAACTTGTCTTCTTGATCGAGAACAGGCCTTGGCATATATAACAATGCAGAACCTCCACCTGACACCAGTACTATTAAAGTATCTGTTCCTGTCAATTTTTCAGCCAGATCTATAATATCGTGCGTGGTATCCAATGATCTACTGTCAGGTTGATTATTGATGCCACCTTCGCGATAATCTATCACACTATTGTACAACTTGGGAAAGCCAGATTTATCTTCAGACATCCATATAACATCCTTTGAAATACTTGGAACGCTGACAATACCTTTTTTCAAAGTATCACCGAGTATTTTTTCGAGTTCTACAGCCATTCCCATAACTGCTTTACCAAATCCAACTAGATAAACATTCTCTTGAAGCATAAAACTCTGTCCGTCAATGTACAAAGTGTTATCACGAAATTTCACTCTCTTCCTTACAATCTCGTTCGGCGACACAGCTTTCACAGCAGAGCGAAAGATATCTTTTAAATCCGATTTAGATTCTGACAAAAATTTTGCGTCCGTTGCCATATCGCGATGTGAATTAATACACTTGAAAACTTTTGATAGGTTAGGGCGAAAAATAATTGAAAAACTGAAAGATTAAAACAAATGTAAATAAAATATCTTCAAAATATTTATTTAATAAAAATTAAGACACTTGCCTGTGCAGAGCGAATTTATGTAATATTATTTTTTGTCGCATTTCTTTCGATTATTAAATGCATTGATTATAGCGTAAAAGATACTAAAAGGCACGACAGAGTACTTGCGTTGAGAAAATATAACGATTGATAACGATTTACAATCATCATTCGGTAATAATCACCACAGATTAAAGTATATTTTTAATTATATATGAGAATAATCCACACAACTTGCATAATAGTATAACACAATCACATGTTAAATTAAAGTTATATTGAACAGATGATTGGTCAATTTCCTTATGCATATGCACTATACAGTCATGCAAATTAGTCTGAATATATTCCTGAAAAATTATTGGCGCTTTTATTAGAAAGTAATAATTTGAGTCAATAAAATGCAAAAATTTCCAAATATCAAAATCATCATTTATTATAACTGATGTCGACAAAATATGTACTATCGTGAAATTAAAGTAAATAATATTATCGCGATTGCGCAAGTGAGATCATTTTGATTCATTGTGAAAAAATCACGCACAAATTGAGTTGTGCATCGTAGTCAGCAAAGTTAACATTTTCACAAGAATTAACAAAAAATGCATAGAAATTGTCATAAAGTATGAATAAATGTTTATTTTTAAATAAAAACATCATGTCCATTGTATTTGTATGTGATTAAGATTTTTAAACATATTTCTTATAAATGTTTTTTCATATCAATGATTTCTGATCATTTGCGATAGTCAAAGGATACAATCTTCAAAGCTAGATATATTGTAAAGAGAGAAAATCTGGTAGATGTTTCCATCATATTGATTCGAGTTCTTTTGGCGAGACGATACAGCATTTTCGTCAATTTGATTAAGTAAAAGTATTTTGAATTGGTATATTTTAGTTTGATCGTAACATAAAATACGCTGCGAAAATTTAATAAATTCAAAATTGTATATTTCTTTGACGTTATAATATAAATATAAAAATACAAAAATTAAATTCAATTATGTATCAATGCTATATTTGTAACACGTCTTAGAATCACGAAATCTAAATTGATATATTTTGTCTAGAAAATAATATAAAATAAAATGCTAACAGCATTTTATACAAAAAGTAAGGTACAATGTTATCAGGAATGCAACACCTAAGAGAATCAACGTTTGAAATATTTTGTTGGCCCTGAAAAGGGCCGTTTATGCTCGGAATGAATCCCAATTTACTTGGAACTAGTGTATTTAGTCACTGCCTTTGTACCTTCACTGACCGCGTGCTTAGCCAATTCTCCGGGTAAGAGAAGCCTTACGGCAGTTTGTATCTCCCGGGAGGTGATGGTCGATCGCTTGTTGTAATGCGCCAATCTTGAGGCTTCCGCGGCAATTCGTTCAAACACATCGTTTACGAAGCTGTTCATAATGCTCATGGCTTTACTAGAGATTCCAGTATCGGGATGTACTTGTTTCAGTACTTTGTAGATGTAGATAGCATAGCTCTCCTTCCTCTTCCTCTTCTTTTTCTTGTCAGTCTTGCTGATATTCTTCTGAGCCTTGCCGGCCTTCTTTACGGCTTTACCACTCGCTTTAGGAGGCATCGTTGCACGATCGAAAGACCACTAACGGCTTGAAGCAAAACGCAGCGTCTCGACGTCCAAAGAAAAAGTGAGCTCCCTGTTCCCAGCGGCACATATATATGAAGCGCTGCGCGACCTCTGACGGACCAATCAGGAGACCGGAAAGTCACCGCGTGCTCTCATTGGTGGAAGCGCGCTGCAACACAGTGCGATATAAGGGGATTGCGGAACTGCAACGCCACCATTTTCTTGCTTCTTGCGAAGGAAGGAACATCGTATCGTTAGCGAAACAACATGTCTGGACGCGGAAAGGGTGGCAAAGTTAAGGGAAAGGCGAAATCGCGCTCTAACAGAGCGGGATTGCAGTTTCCCGTGGGCCGTATTCATCGTCTGCTGAGGAAGGGAAATTACGCTGAACGTGTTGGTGCCGGTGCTCCAGTTTACTTGGCAGCGGTTATGGAATACCTCGCCGCTGAAGTATTGGAGTTGGCTGGCAATGCCGCTCGTGACAACAAGAAGACTAGGATTATTCCTCGTCATTTACAGCTTGCCATCCGTAATGACGAAGAATTGAACAAATTGCTATCTGGTGTGACCATTGCTCAAGGTGGTGTCCTGCCGAATATTCAAGCCGTACTGTTGCCGAAGAAGACCGAAAAGAAAGCATAATCATAATCTGACATCCCAAACAAATGGCCCTTTTCAGGGCCACAAAATTTTATAACACTGGAATAATCTTATTTAATAAACATTTTAGTATAATAAGAAATATTTATTTACGATACTTGCATAATAATTAAAATAATTGATAGTTAAACATTGATGAAGTCGAAAATTAATACATCCATGAAATATTTGTATAGTCAATTTTTATTGATACTTGCAATAATAAAATCATACCAGTTTTGTTTATTTCATTTAATTATTAACTAATAATTGATATAGAATGAGAACATTAATTTTTTTAGCAAATTTATGATTTAGTACGCAATACATCGAAGAAATACTATGATTTTATAGCAAACGTTAAGAAATTAAATTTAAAACATTAAATGACTTTGAGTTAAAAATAGTATTAAAGAGATAAATAAGTGAAAGAGCGCAAGATTCGATTTATGAACTCAACACTTTCTTTATTTTATTATGTATTATTTCTGACGAAAATTGAATCGTGCTTTTACAGAGGCTAAGAGAAACTGAATTATTTAAAATATAGTTAATGTACATATATATGACAAAATTACTTATAAATAAAACCTATACAAAATACATTTTTTAATTTGATTCTTGACTTTAATGTTTAATAGTTTTAAAAGTGTTAATCAAATCTAAAACTCATTTTATTGTTATTATAATTAGTGATTTAAACAGCGAATATTTTTATTTATTAGTTCTTTAAAAACACTTTAAATAACCTGATGTCCTTGCAATGCCATAGTCTTGAGCGAATTCTGTGAGACGATTTTTCCTTTTACAAAATTTTCTCCAAAGCTTAGTTTTCGAGTTATAATTGAAAATAGTTTGCTACTTACGATACAATGGATAGGCAGGGACGTACCATGCGTTATGAGACGATAGTAAACATTTAACAGTCTCATTATACGTTGCGCGTCCCTGCCTGCCTGTTGTACCGAACTCGTAAGTTGCTACCTATTTTCAATTATAACTCGAAAACTAAGCTTCGGACAAAATTTTGTAAAAGGAAAAATCGTCTCAGAATTCGCTCAAAAATGGCATTGCAAGGACATCAGATTATTTTGAATCACCCTGTATATACGTTAACAGATAGATATAGAGATTGAAACAGTGAAGAAAATTATTATTTGCTATCAGCTACAGGTTTATATTTTAAAACAGACAATATATAATTATTTGTCTATTTTATTTTAAATTTGTTAATTATTTGTAAATTTAAAAAAATATATATCGTATTGTTATATTACATATTAGAAATTTGTCACAATTAATTAAAATTATTCTATATGAAACATACTTTGTGTATTGCATGTGGAACAAACTATTTCTGATATTCTCAAGTCTGCTGTGGAACAAACTGCAGTTTTAGAAGATTTTGGAGCAAGTTAATAATTAACTAAACATATAGTAGAAATGAGAAATATTTTAGATTATGACACAAAAATACCTTTTTTAATATTTGCAAGGTTTATATTCATAAGATTTACATACACCATTATATGATATGATTTATGTCATATATTGTTTAATAAACGTACATATAATAATTATTTAAAAATAGTTTAACACCGAATGAATTTGAAATCATGAAGTGTCATCTCTCAATTTTCAACATATTAAGAAATGAAAAAGAAATATCTTTTATTTTCGATAATTAGATAGCCAACAGATAAAGTACATGGTTATTACATATTTTTCAGACAATATTTAAGATACATTATTTCGAATGATATGGTATATGTTTCATTAAATGAAAATATATATTAACATCAGTAAAAATTATATATAATAGTTTATGAAACACAATCTTTTAAAGATTAATATTTTGGATTTTATCATCGAAAAATTAATCTTATATAAGAAGTGTATATAATTTAATTATTTAATAGGAAAAATATGTTTGGCTAACATACATATATTTATTATGGTTATTGATCTGTAAAATCTGTAAAGAAATAAAAAACTTTTGTTGCTTCGGAGCAATTTGCTCCAACATCTCACATTTGTATGTAATGACTAGAACTTTGACACAATTTTGATCATTTTCAATGTATTGTTGTGTTCAGAGAAATGTTAATAAATCACTTCTATTTATTATAAACTAGTTAATTGTTGATATAACGTTCGGTTTGTGAATAGTTTCGTGGCTTGTTTCGATTCAATGCAGAAAGCATGAGACAGCTGTTGCTGTAGCGCACCAATGAGCTCGGTCCGACAACCGTGGCACGTGATTGGTGGAGCGCCGCTACCCCGATTCACATAAAAGAGGCGCATATCGAGGCGGCGCGCTCAATCGCTGCTCAGATATCGTTCGGCTTGCATCTATCTGTACGCTGAAAGTTTCGTTAGTAGCTCCATCATGCCACCGAAAGCTAGTGGAAAGGCCGTTAAGAAGGCGGGTAAAGCTCAGAAGAACATCAGCAAAACTGACAAAAAAAAGAAGAGGAAGAGGAAGGAAAGCTATGCCATTTACATTTACAAAGTGTTGAAGCAAGTACATCCTGATACTGGAATTTCCAGCAAAGCTATGAGCATCATGAACAGCTTTGTAAATGATGTGTTTGAACGAATTGCTGCGGAAGCCTCAAGATTGGCGCATTACAACAAAAGATCGACGATCACTTCTCGTGAGATACAAACTGCGGTGAGGCTTCTTTTGCCTGGAGAATTGGCTAAGCACGCGGTCAGTGAGGGAACAAAAGCAGTGACCAAGTACACTAGCTCCAAGTGAAGCAACATTTGATACACATTTTATACACATACACATCGGCCCTTTTCAGGGCCAACATGTATCTAAAACATGGAAATCTTTTTCGCTAATTAACATCCTATACTTAACTATTAATGCTATTTTTAAGAACGTGAAAAAAATAATAAAAAAATAAAAATTTTTTAACTTTTAAATGAAACTAACAGCAATCGAAATAAAGTTGTCAAAGATATAAAGAGTTTGTTTGCTTACATATGAAGTAAATATTCGTTGACCGAACGTATCCTTCAGTTATAAATTAATATATTACGAATAAGTTATGAAAATTTTCTCGTTTCATGTACTAATACTTTGAAACAAAAATTCTGCTTTTATTTAATTTAAATGTGTGAAAATTATCGAACCACGTTTCACTAGCGATAAAAGTTATTTAATATTTATAAAAATTAAAAATCAGGAGTGCGTTACAACGCTATAAAATATCATTTGCTCTTACAATTAGTAAAATCGTAAACGAATAATCTAAATTTGTTTCATATTATACAATTTTAATTTATAGTATTAATTATATAATTAACTCTTTCGTACTTGACTTTTGTACGCGACAGTCGAGAATCTTGACGTGCATGATAGTTAATAAGTCAAAATTCTCGACTGTCGCGTAGAAAAATTAAGTACGAAATGGTTAATTATATAATTAATACTATAAATTAAAGTTGTACAATATGAAACAATTTAGATTATTTGTTTCCGATTTTACTAAGAGTAAATGAATTTTATAGCGTTGTAAAGCATTTCTGATTAATAGTAGAAATTTCTGTATTTTTCATTTAACAAGTATCTCATATATATATTTTACTTTATATCCGAACATTGATACTTGTTTGTAATTTATTCCAAACTTAAGTATTAAGGAAAAAATATTTTATCCCTAATTTATCAAGAAAATGGTTTCAACAATGATATAAACTAAGGTTCTACGCACAACAAAGAAAATATTAGAAGTAGGAAATTGATATTCATTTCAAAACAAGGAAATTACATTAACCATCATGAATTAAAAATAATTAATCCATTCCGTTCTCTCGTTTGAAGTAAAATAATTTAAAAAATGATTCTTCCTAACATTTAATATTTATTCTTATTCCTATTATTTTCTCTATTGTGTGTAGAGCCTTAGATTCGTATTCAATACACGATTATATTAGCGCGTTAATAAATCGAAAACGAAACAATAAAAGCGGTAAAGGATTTCGATTTCTTAGCTCACTATCATAAATGCGTTCTGAATGCATGCCTAGATATTTCAAATAATACTTGCTATATAATACGAGCAACCTAATTTATTTCATTCACTAATAAAATAAAGTAAAAAAATTAAGAAAGCATAATTTAAGATTAGTTTTAATTATAAATTTATACTACCTTGGGATTGATACATGAATTCTTCACTCATTTCGAAGTTCGTAATAAATGTACATATATATTCATAAATTATCTAATATTAATAGTAATTGCAATGAGAAAATTCCAATGTTTGAAACATTTGTGGCCCTGAAAAGGGCCGATTTTTATATCTAAAGATGTATCATGGTCATGTTTAACCGCCGAAACCGTACAGGGTTCTTCCTTGACGCTTCAGAGCATAGACCACGTCCATAGCAGTTACGGTCTTCCGTTTGGCATGCTCGGTATAGGTTACCGCGTCACGAATAACGTTCTCAAGAAAGACTTTCAGTACACCACGTGTCTCTTCGTAAATTAAACCGGAAATACGCTTGACGCCGCCACGGCGAGCAAGACGACGGATGGCCGGTTTGGTGATGCCCTGGATGTTATCGCGAAGTACTTTGCGATGTCTCTTCGCTCCTCCTTTTCCCAATCCCTTTCCTCCCTTACCGCGACCAGTCATGATGATTTGCTTTCAAACAACGTAGAGACACTTCGAGAAGAGCCACACGAATGCGTTCTTCCACCGACAGTGCCAGGTTTTATTTCCAAACTGCGAGGCGATCCCCACCATGACGCTCCCAGCCAATAGGATCGTTCCCCCCCACCACCATTGTGCCGACCAATCAGATGCGTCGTACGATTGAGAGGACATATATAAGAAGTGTAAGCTGCTAAAAGTTCAATTTGATAGAGTGCTGTAGAGATCTCTATTGCAGAACGCTAAAGACTACGATGGCGCGTACCAAGCAGACCGCTCGTAAATCGACCGGAGGAAAGGCTCCTCGGAAACAGTTGGCCACTAAAGCTGCGAGAAAGAGCGCTCCAGCTACCGGCGGTGTAAAGAAGCCTCATCGTTACAGGCCTGGTACCGTGGCCCTTCGTGAAATCCGTCGTTATCAGAAAAGCACGGAGTTGCTGATCCGTAAATTGCCATTCCAGCGACTTGTTCGTGAGATTGCCCAAGACTTCAAAACTGATCTCCGGTTCCAAAGCTCTGCCGTAATGGCTCTTCAAGAAGCTAGCGAAGCCTACCTTGTAGGATTATTCGAAGATACTAACTTGTGCGCTATTCACGCTAAGCGAGTTACCATCATGCCAAAGGACATCCAATTGGCACGCCGCATTCGTGGCGAGCGCGCTTAAGTGCCTTTAAAAATTATAATCGGCCCTTTTCAGGGCCAACAATCTTTTTCACAAAAGAACGTTTTCGTTTGCAATACATATCCATCAGATTTTTTTATGAGAAATATTCTTCAATTATATCACATTTTATAATTTTATTCTAATATAACACGTTAACTAGTATATTTTTTAATCTTAAATATATTTACATCATAAACGAATTGCTATTAAATATGATTGGAATTCAAGACATGGTTTTGCAGCTACATACAAAGAATACTTTAAATGAAATGTGAAATGTATCTGTATTACTTTGATTTTACGCGATCTATTCATGTTCTGAAATTTATTATGTTATAGAAGTTATGCTGTACGCATAAAATGATTATAAAAGTTATCAAGAAAAGAGAAGTGAAACCAAAAAAATATAAATATGAAATAAATTTCTTCTCCTACGACCTTTATCAAAAGTAGCTATCGGTGACTCACGCAGTAGAAAACTTTAATTTATCAATATTAATGTAAAAGATGCGAAAAGATGTCATATTTCTAACTAATATTTTTAGTAGTTTTTAAAATTGATTTATCTAACATTTCATAGATGTTATATATTTTCAAATAAAACTACTTTATTCTTATACTTCGTGCACAAAATACATACATGTTTTATTTAATTGCAAGGAGAAATACATTTATGTGAATTTTCAGGTTGAAATAGATGATCTCAAATGAATATTTCTAAATGTGTTTTTTTAACAATGAATAGAATTATGTAATATTTAAAAGAACTAACACATTCCAAACATTCTGTAGTACTATTCAATTGATATTAATGCTTTAAGAAAGCAAAAAGAAAGTATTTCTTTTTCATATCATTAAAAAATCATGTATCGAAATATAAGGATACACAAAAATAAGCGAGACTTCATACAAAAGCTGTGTAAACGATTTTGTTTACAAGTTTTTTGGCTTCCCAAATTAATGGGTTGGCTTTTTAATTTAAATAACGGTTATAAATTAATTATATTACAATTAAGTATCAATGTTTTCTTTGACTAACCTTTAAGAAAAAAGTCAAGATATAAAAACATTAACTTATTAGTTAAATAATCTTTCTCGGCAATTGCATAGCGGAAATTTGCACGTTAAATTTTGATTTGTGTATCTATTAATTAAATTACAGATAATATTACTATTTACTATTAATTACTAAATAGTTAATATTAACTATTTAGCAAGTGTTTAAAAAAAATTGATTTTAACTTTATATAGGCGTTACAGACTAAGTATAAGATGTGGAATAGACATAAAACACTTGTAAATTTAGAATTTTATAAAAATTACAAGCAATATTTCTACATTTATATTAATTAGTCGCAATAAACATTAACATAAAAATATGTTGCTTCCAACATGGTTATTGCAATATAATAAAAAAATTCGAACCTTTTATAGATGTCATAACATAAGATGTGGAATAGACATAAAATGTTTGAAAATGTAAAGATTTTATAAATTACAAACATAATATTTCTAGATTTACATTACTTAGTCGCAATAAAATAAATAAATAGTTTAATAAGCCAGTTTGAATTCAGTTTTCGTTAAGAATGAGCATGAAACTCAAATGGCATTTTATATCACCCAAACAAGGGTGTTATAATACATATTCTGTTGACATAATATTTATTAAGCGTTTGATTATTAGGTAATTATTTCCTCATTGTGATTTATATTTTATCCAACGAAGAAGGTGAAAATTAAAAACGTTAAAAGTTCCAACAGAGAGTTCCAAACGTTCGAAGCATACAAACCGGAGTTGTGTTCAACCAATAGCAGCCTTGCTTGCACGCCATTGGCTGGGCGCAACCACCGCGGCAGTCGATATATATATCGGCGTTGGCCGCCGTCAGGGCAAACAGTGTTCAGCTGTCGTACGATTCGCATCGTAGCTCGATTGTCACTCGATTAAATCAAGGATGTCTGGACGTGGCAAAGGTGGCAAGGTTAAAGGCAAGTCCAAGAGCCGTTCCAATCGAGCTGGATTGCAGTTTCCCGTTGGCCGTATTCATCGATTGTTGCGGAAGGGAAATTATGCTGAACGCGTAGGTGCCGGTGCACCGGTATATTTGGCCGCTGTAATGGAATACCTCGCTGCTGAGGTGTTGGAGTTGGCTGGTAACGCAGCTCGTGATAACAAGAAGACCAGGATCATTCCGAGACATTTGCAACTCGCCATCCGCAATGACGAAGAGCTGAACAAACTGCTCTCAGGCGTCACCATCGCCCAAGGAGGTGTGTTGCCCAACATTCAAGCAGTGTTGTTGCCGAAAAAGACCGAGAAGAAAGCATAATTATAAATTGACACATACATCGAAAAACACCAACCTTTGGTTGGCAGCAAAACAAATGGCCCTTTTCAGGGCCCCAAAATAATGATACGATGAAACAATCTCACTCGCTTCAAATAAAAAAAAATTTGTTGATGTTAGGACTTCATTTCACAAACTATTCATTAGCGCGCACACACAACCATCTAATATAATAATACAAAACTAAATATATCTAAAAAATTGTTTGATTTCAAGATTATGATTAAATGTTTATGTTGAAAATTTTAACGTAATCTGCAAGACTTAAATAATTGTTATAACCTGAAAGATGGTACTGTACGTAACTTACGATAAGTATCTAATTTTTTCCTATAAGTACAGAGATTAGTATTGCTACGTTAATTAATTTTAAATACAGTTTATTAATCAGATTAAAATAGTTGAGTTACGGAAGGATAAAAAAATCTTTTCATGTTTTTTGTTATACAGAGTGTCCCATAGGGAAGTTGCTAAAACTCTAATCATCTGTTTTTCGAATGTATTCAGTTATTGAAAAAAAACAAAAAAAGAGGAAAATGTAGTTTTTAATAGATATAAATAAAATTTAACACAATGTTTGTATATCAGTTTACTTTATTGATTAAAAATATGCTAATAAAGTCGTTTTAAAATCTTGTGTAACGTTGTTTTCGGTATTTGAAGGTCTTCGGCAGCTTTTCGAAGGGAAGCATCTGGATTCTGTTGAAAATAATTTATAACTTCTTCAATATTTTCTTCTACAGCTACAGACACAGAAGGACCTGGCAAATCGCGTCTACGGTCATGAGTAGTTCCATATTGTATAAAATTATCGATAATTCTGTTAAAAACAACAACAAAAATGATTTTAATGCAGATTTATTGCCAAAACATAGAGTGACGTAACGCATAAGTTTAAATAAATAATGAATCGTAACCTTTTCAGTGTGTTTTCGCTCTTAACTTTATGTGTTCCGTATTTACTACGGAACGCTCTATAAGCACTACTATATACTTTTCCTCTGGAAAAGAAGCACTCGATGAGATAGACCTTTTCTTCCGTTGTTAAATCACTCATTTTGACGCGCACGAGTTTGCTTCTACAATGCTACTTCTACTTGCTACCACAGTCAGAATGAAACTGTGAATCCTCAGGTGGGACGACCGTTAAACCTTTTCTGAAGTCAACTTCCCGTGAGACACCCTGTAGATGGTTGCTAAATCTTCAACTTAATTTTATTATCTCATAGATATTTAATATTTTTTATATGTTAAATAACTGCTTGCTTTATATAAAACCGACTTCTAAATTTAGGACTTATAAGTATATGCAACTAATTTTATTATCATTAATTACACAGCACACACACCACACATAGTTTACACATGTAACATACTTTTTTTATTTAAAAAATTGTGATTTAGGATTTAGGGTAATAAAAATGGAGATGTTTTAAATACATTATATGTATTCGAGCTTCAATATTCAATTTTACATAATTATTCGATACAATATTGTTAAATTTTACAAATTTATAAAAGAGGAAGAATACTTGACAGTAAAACTGCCTGGGATAAACAAATTGTATATTTCTCGATAAAGATTTATAAAAGTTGAGCAATTAATATATCTAATAAGGATTAATAGTATATAACATTGCTTCTTGTGTCAACAGAAAATATCAAATAACTTAGAAGTCAGAAATTCACATTTTTCTTTTCTATGTAAAGTGTACTTATTCAAATCTGAATATATATTTTTGACACTGACAAAGTTGTTTCACATACGGTTCAATATGCTTTGAATTGATCGTAGATTTGCTATTTCTCTGTCGAGATCTCCACCATTGGGTTTACTAAAAAGTGTTGTTAAACATTTCGAAATAACATCTTGACATTTCGTTATTATCTTCCTCCTGCAATAAAGAAAATTTTGTATTAGAATCAGCTTTAACGTTTATTCTAGTAGTAATTAAAGCGTTTTACTTGTTTTCGTTTAAAGCGATCTATATTATATTTTATATTATATTGTATTTTATTTTCTTGCTTCAAAATAATATATTCCATTGTGATTTATATCAATCTAGTTGTGTTTCGTTTTTCGTCTCTAACAGATAATGGAAATTACATAAGAATGATATACTCACCTGACAAAAGTATTTGTTACGTTCAAGTTTGTTATAAAATAATTTACTAAATTTGCTGTCGATTCGATTAAATGAAACTCGTTACCTTCATTTAACCACACACGGGTATTTTTGCCAATCATCCTAAAAACACACAATTTAGGTAATTATTTTTCAAGATCAAGATAAAAACTTGCATTGCATATACTTACTTATCATAAATATCTAAAAGATCTTCCATTGCTATACCCAATTCCAAGAATCCGGTTATGATACTAATATTAGATACTTTGTATTTACATGCCTTCATTTCCAATTGTTTTATTAGAAAATCTAAAATGTGCATATATAAAAGAAGCGCGTGAACGATATACATATATACATTAATATCAAATTTATCAATCATTAATTACCAATTGGAAAGCAATGCGGCGATCCAGTATATTCCTGACCAAGCAATTTAATTTTACTCATTAAAATGGTCATCTTATCTTCGTTGGAAGGTTCAGTTATATTTTCCAATTCTATAATCATGAAAAATTGATTAGAGATTTGAGAAAACGTTACGATGCTGCACACATATTGCATTTTATACCATTATCAATTATATTTGTCCAAATTCCTTTAATCAACATGTCATCTTGATGACCTGAACAATGAATTATAGCCAATTTGCATTCCCAAAGTTGTAAGGGCTCTGCGTATTCTTCGTATAACTGTAATTAATATTTTGTAAAAAAAAATACTAAGAAACATCGATAAAATTTAACATATCTACTAAAATTACAAACCTGTGTAATATCGAGCAATGAAGAATTTAGTCTCAATTTTGCGTCTGGAATTGTCATCGAATCGAACAAGTTTGGCTGATTGCTGATAATATCAAGTATCTGAAAAACATAGAAGGCAAACAATTGTTAATAAAATATTTTATCAAAACTTATTTTTATATACAAGTATATGGTACTTTATGAATGATTTATTTCTTCTTTTTCAATAATTGTATACACCAAAACAAATAATTTATATCATATAGTTGTCATAAAGTTATGCGTAGTTTCTATTCTATCAGTGATATATGTACCTGTTGCTGCATTCTAGCTACTTCTAATTTATCTTCTAATTCGCGCAAGAAAATTCCAAGATAGGGAGCGTATCCTGTTTGATCACTTCTCATACATACAACCGCTCGTGCTAAATACTCGACTCTTTTCGACAGTGGTATCTCTGGCCTGTGTAAGATAGACATTTATATTTTAAAATAATTACGCTATCTAAGCAATAAGTATACATACCCGACTTTGCTCGCTAAGGAATCCAAAATTTTCGCCGCCGCTGCATGATTCTTATTTCTCTCGTAAAATTGCCAGAGTAATTCGGGTGCATTGACACGATTAAGGTAAGTTTCTAGCGAAGGTGCAGCGAGTGCAATTAATTCGCCATGAAGTCCTCGCTCTATCATCCAGGTATAAATAGAAGAATGAAGCGTTTCACACGGTGCCTTCAGTGCATCGCGTATAATATCGTTTAGCTGAAAAATATGTCGGTGTTATAACGTATTTCAAACAATTGAAAGAATTCTACATCTCTTACTATTTCTTTTGCCGGTGTTACTGTAGCAGTCAATGCAATTTGTAAAGGAGGTCCTGGCTTACTCGGTATAGTTGGTGTTAAAGGATTAGAGATACTTTGATGATACAAGTGATCTAACATCAAAGTGAATTCCTTATAAATTTCTAATCTGCGAAAAAAACATTAAATTATCAGAAAATTATTTATAACTATCCAGAAGGATTATGTATTATTATCATATTTTATATACCGTTTTGTAAAAGCCAGATTTCCTTCTTGATCTTCTATAGGTTCATTGTTTTTGTAATAATGCGAGGCAGCATTGTTAGGATCTATTTTTTCTGCACAGCAGATACACAATTCAAGTACTCCAGTGTAAAATTGGCATGCCACAAACTGTTGGCATACTGCATTCAAATTCAATCTGGGTGCTACTTCTTTACAAAGCTGTGTACATATTTAAAAAAGAAATAAAATCACAAGTTATTTTATATTTTAATTGCAAGTAAAGTATTACAATATACCTGTAAAGCAGATCGAAGGTAACATTCTTTCTCCTCAGGATTTGTGCAACTTTTTGCTTTTAAGAGAATTTCATTTGCCTAAATTTATAAGAAAAATAATATTTATTTATTATATATAATAAAATTTGAATTGCAAAAAGATGGATATTTTTGAATATTTGTGTAACCTTGGAGCAAACAGCATCTTCAGTTCTGTACAAATTCGGGCACACTTCTCTTAATTTTGCGCTCACAGAATCCACTGATGCGTTATCCCCAAGATAACTGCAAGATACCAATTGTAAATTATTAAATTATTAAACAATTTTTATAAAACTCATAAACTCACCTATCGATTAAATGGACGATGAGTAAAGAAGATATTTCATGACCTATCAAAATTAAATCCCTAAAGGTGGCTGTAGAAAATTGAGTGATCTGATCCTAAAAGATTAATATGAATTTGATTTTCTTTTATAAAAATACAAGAATATCTTTCGAGAAAATTAACTGAAATTAAATAATTATAACCTTTGATAAACAGTTGACAATGCTGTTTAATTGATTTTCACATAATATCTTCCATAAACCAAGAACCTCGCAAGCATGAGTGATGAAAACTTTGAGAGCATCCAAGGAGTTTCTTTCTTCTACGATTGGTTCTTGAAAATGACTTTGAATGGTTGTTTCAAAACCGTCTGCTAGACTTCTATTTATGCTTTGTCTAAAAGCATACAACATTTAGTTTTAATCTTTTGATTAACATTAATTAATCTACTGTAATTTAATAAAATATGTCATTTGTATTAATATAATAATTAAAATTTATTAAGAAATAATGTATTTGAGACAATACATACTGTTTTGAAATATGGGTATTTCTGTTCAAGAAAGATCTCAATGCTTGCAAATGTCCTAAGATCCAAGCTATTTGTGTCGCTGGTACTGTACTGGATATCTGCAAAAAATAAATAATACTTATAATTAAATTTTTAATTACTAGATCAACGTTCTTTTTTTTAACTAATCGTGGACATATTTGCAACAGATTATATATATTTTGTCATTCTTACCACGTTTTTGTTATTTATTGTTTCTTGTTTTATACATCTTATGTTCCATATAGGACGAAGTATTCTTCCCACATACAGGTACAATCCGCTATGTTTAGCAGAGAAATGTTGCAAAGCAACATCTGTACTAAGGCCCATCTGTGCCGGTGATCGGAAGACGAGTCCTCTAGAATCAAAGCTAGGAACTCTGGGCGTAGATGTGCGTAAGTCGACTAAAATTAAATTTTATTTTCAATTTGAAATTTGATGTCATATGTATTTGTATTTTATATAGAACATTGTGTATATATTTACCTGGATTTATATTTGGAAAAGTAGTGTGCGCATCAATTGAAGGACCTATTCCTGTTATTCGTTGTCCACCATACAAGAAAAATGCACGAGTTGCCCATTCTGACAACTGTAAATGATTATCAAATATACTTATTATCAACTATAATTTCATACATAATATTGAATTTAATTAATAATTTCTTTAGGAAAAAATATATATAAATTTTATAAAAATATGGTTTACCTGAGCATTTTGAGAACTCTCGAGCGTCGCTAAAATTAGACAAGTAGCACAAGCTTGTTCCAGGGACTGCGTTTGAAAATATACGCGTACTGCCTCAGTGTCAGGTCCACGCTGTTCTAAAAGGAGTTGTCTCAGGATATCTACAGGACGTACTTGCATCAAAATTATGGCTCCCTGCGACAAAACGATGGGAATAACAATGAGTAATATGTATGCATTTCATATAAATATAAATGAAAATGTACCTATTGTATACCTGTGCTGTAAGAAAGATGAATTTTCTTGGTGGCTCCATGTGTTGGCGCACTAATAATGGAGGTTCACCCTGAGTAGTGCTTTGCTTCTCTATCTGTATAGCCGAATCTCTTATAATCTCCTCCATAGCCCAAGCTGAGCTATCAAGAGGCAAGATACTCTGAGTTTCGGCCAAATAATTTGTAAATGGATAAGCATCGTTGCTTAAACACCATGCAGTTTCCGTATCACCGCCGCACATAAGAATAAGAGTTCCTAAAAGATATTCAAATGTGACGAGTCACACATCCAATACTCATTCAATGTTCAATTTATAATACAATGTATTATAAAAAAATTAATTTACCCTTTCGATAATACGCCATTTGAACTTTCCGTGGTCTCATTACCGGAGCATTTGCAGCATAGCCTGGTGGTAGCCTAACATGTATCAATTGTAGACCTTGTGGCCTGCTTGAGGGATTTGTAACTGAAGTGCAGCTAAAGTAAAAACGAGTTCCTGTCGCTGCAACGACAACCAAGTTCAACTGTACTGACTCCGATTCTGCTATGGCTGATATGCTTACGAGAGGTCGAAAATTGTTACTATCCAGAGTCCTGGAAGGAAAAGATTACATTAATTTAAATATTAATAATTTTTATAACTTTATTTTAATGGAATACCTACTTAACAACATGAACAGCATTTTGCACCAAAGAAGCTTGGGATAATGATGTAACTTTAGAGGCACCGCCATTATCAATATCCCAAACCGTGATTGTACCTCTGTCACCCAAAGTGTATAAAATATTACGTGAATCATCAACAGATATCTGTATTATAGCTTCATCCTCTGACAATGCCATGGTAACAAACGATGGTACTAGAAATGATAATGGACCTTCGGAATGATTAATTTTTTTACATCGTTTACCAAACCAGCTGCTTTCTGCCTATATACAGAAAAATCGATTAAAATTAATACAAGTGTCATAATATCAGTTTTTAGGATTTCAGTGTTAAGATTTTAAATCTTACCTGATAATATATTTCAAATAATGACCCATTTCTACCACCAAGAAAGATTCTACCACTACTGGTATTAGCAATTGTAGCAATTCCTATTCCATCAGTAGCAACAGTAAAAATTGGTTCTGGAACTAACTGCATCTCTGTGGATTTATAAAGAAGATAATTACTGTATGCTATAATTCATGAAAAAAATTAGTAAATAACATAAACAAATAAATAGAATCATAATAAATTGTTACCTTGTGTATCATCGGAAATGGTAACACCAAGAATGGTTATTTCTACTGTCGTTGTGAGGATTAACAAGTATTTAACATAATTCTGGAAGATTCCTGCCTTAGGTTTTACTAAGCCTACGCTTATAATAGTCTCATTCAAACCATCAAAATATGCAACATCAGATCTGTATAATTTTACAATATAAATTTAACCATTGAGACTGCCAAGGCACACAGGGGA